CTCAGAGTGCAGGACTGATTCTTCTCAAGAATGCACTCTTTACTCTAAGAACTCTCAGCTTTTCTTCCTTCTTCAGAACACCGTGGGTACTGCCTAACTGTGTTTCCGGTGTATGGGCCTGAAGACCCTGGAATAAACTCTATTCATTCATTTCCAGCCAAAGCCTCCCAACTCTGGGTGAGCCCGTTCGGCAGACCTTCCAGTCTTCTTCAAGGAACTGCCATCAGCAGACCTCACTGCTCACCCAGGCACTGGATTCTGGTGAAAACTTGTAAGAACAAGAAGCTCTCATTGCTTCTTAACCTGATTTTGATAACATTTCTCCTGTGTCAGTTTTCTCTCTCTTCTGAGGAAATAAATGAGTGAATAAATACTTTACACACATATACATGTGTAAATATGTGTGCATATACACATGCATAAATACATGTGTCCGTATGTATATATACATAATGAATGTATACATAAATACATATATAGCGCTAGCTGATGTGGCTCAGTGGATTGAGTGTTGGCCTGCGAACCAAAGAGCTGCTGGTTCAATTCCCAGTCAGGGCACATGCCTGGGTTGTGGGTCAGGTTCCCAGTAGGAGGTGTGCAAGAGACAACCATACAATGATGTTTCTCTCCCTCTCTTTCTCCTTCCCTTCCCCTCTCTCTGAAAGTAAATAAAATAAAATATTTAAATACATATATAAATGTGTGCATATTTATATTTATAGATATCCTAAACCTTCCGGAGAACACTGCTTCTTTACAGCCCAAAGACCACGTAGCCAGTATACCGAATGGCAAGGAGACATTCATAACTGCCTGTTATATTTGTATTTTGGGTTTTTTGGCTATGTGTTCTACCTTTACTGATAGGTCATTTCTTTAATTGATTAGAACATTGTTTTTCAGCTTCTTCAGAGCCCAACCTCCAGTCTCCCTGCCCCCCAAATTTTTCCACCTATTTTCTGTTATCTCGGCGTCAGTGTTTTAAAAAATGTATTTTATGTTCTATAATTTTGCTGTGAAAATAACAGGCATGCTGAATAACTTTGAAAATAGTCATGTACCCCCCAGAAATTCTGATGTGCCTGCTGGAGACCGGAGCAGGGACGTGGACGTCAGAGAAAAGCACGGACCACGACTCAGTGACTGTGCCTTCTCACTCTGAGCACAGCAGCAGGTTTCAATGGAAAAAGCGTCCTTACACTTGGCCCCTGATCCCGCAGGAAGTAAAGCTAATAAAAACCGTCTGCCCTGTTCAAGGGGACAAAGGGTAGAAGGTTTACAACCTGAGGGCCACAGCTGAAAAGCTCCCCGTGAATTCTAAATGAGTCACCCCTGATGCTAAGTCCCCAAGCACTGCAGAACAGGTGTCCTTGACAGCTTTCAAACTGAACATGTCGGCGCTCTGCTGACACACCTGCCGCCCAGCAGCAGTCTCCACACCTCAGACCCAGGGACCGCCCGCCCCTGGTCCCCGCCGACCTTGTTCGCCTCCTCACCCGCCACCTCTGCCCGGTTTCCACCACACCCAATGGTGCCGCTCTCAGGTGTCCGGCCTGGCACTGTGGGGGCTGCTCTTTGCTTCTGTGGGGACTTTCTCCCACGTCTCCACCTGGGGAGTCCCTGCTCCACCCCGTGGCCCAGCAGGAAGGTGGTGCCTCCACGGAGCCGACCCCCACCCAAGACTCAGCCCTCTGTCCCCCGTTGTTAACACCTGTGTCTTTTACACTTAGCCTGCCCTGGGGAGACACCTAGCAGACCTCTGGCCTGGGCCGACTGGGCAAAGCACTCTGGAGGGGACGTCTTCAAATGGGCGTCTTGACCCAACTGTACAGAAGCAGTGCCCGCCTAGCTCGAGCAGACACAGCGAGGGCAGGTGAGACACATGTGGCCCCGCGCTTGACGGCAGGGAAACTCGGGCTCCGAAGTCAGAGGACGTGCCTAACGTCACAAAGGCCTGAAAGTCTCCTAGGTGTCTACCCTACAGAAATGAAAATAGACGCCCACACAGAAACCTACATGCAAATGTTCACGGCAGCATCACTCGCTGTAGCCAGGAAGCGAGAACAACCCAAATGACTCGCGGGTGGTGAGTGAATTGACACAGTGGGGGTGGCCCCCCAGTGGAGTGTCATTCGGCCAAAGAAAGGACAAAGTATTGACGCACACGCCGCAACACGGGCGAACCTCAAACTTGCGCTCAGAAGCCAGACACGAGACCGTGTATTGTAGGATTCCGTCCTATAACTCTCCAGTCTCAGCGAGTCAGGGAGACAGAATGAGGGTCGGTGGTTGGCTGGGACCGGGGATGGGAAGGGGATGAACGGCAAACAGGCGCGAGGGACCCCGTGGGGCGAGGGGAGGATAAACGTTCCAGAACTGAAGTAGGGTGGTGGCGGCTCAGCTCAGCCAGTTCACTGAAAACCATGAAAATGTCCACTTAGTGTGGGCGGCTGTTACGGTGTGTAAATTGTACCTTAATGTGTTCAGTTACCAAGTACCATGCGAACCAGCGTCCCCGGACTACAGTACACACCCTGTATTAGCACCCCCGCGTCCCCACATGTGGCAGCTCGAGAGCAGCCTTCTGGCACCTCAGCCCCACTGAGGCTTCCCCCGCGGAGTGGCCTCGAGAGGGAAACTGCCTAGGAAAGCAAGCCGCCCATGTGAAGGCCAACGCTGACGAAACACGCAGGAGTCTGCCCCACAGAGACTATTTTTAATTGGATAAATTTCATTAAAACTTGCTCAGATGGCAGAACGATTTCAGGACAGAGCCATAAGAAAAGCAAGGGCCAGCGCTCTCCAGTGTTTGAGAAGAGTTTGACTTTGAACTCTCCCCCCAGGCGCGATGCTCTCCTAACCTTCGCCCAAGTTAGGGCCACTTCTCAGAGGTTCGGCCAAGTCCCTTGCTTAGCTGTTGTCCTTCGATACCTACAAAATAATTTAGACTTCGCCCAATAGCCTAAGTGACCTACTAAGACCCATTAGACACACATTACTTAGTTAAAAAAAACACAAATATAACTTATTTAATTGAGCCCTCCAAGTGGGTATGGGAATAGGGTGAGGGCTACTGAGCAAAACTGGCTACAGTAACAACGAATCTATTTCTTACAAATGTCCCTTTGTCCCTTCCCACCGACCGGGGTGGTGTTAAGTCACGCGAACACAGCTGAGTCTTATTTTGGGCCCAAGGCATAGGTGATTAAAAAAGGGGGGAGATTTTGTTTTTACCCCCAGGCGAGTCTTTGCAAGGGAAGGCTTCCTTCTGACCCACACCCCAGAGAGAGGTAAAAACCTAAAAGCCCTGCCGTGTACCTTATCACCCCGAGATAAGCAAGCGGTTGTCCTTAAGAGTCCTGAGAAACAAAGAAGCAAGATCATGTTCAATGTGACACAGACAGATGAGGAGGCAGAAAGGTGTTAGGAAAGAAGTCGTATTAACAAGAAAGGCACCAACTGATAAGCAGCCATAGTCGGAAGCCAGAAGCCAACAGGCAGACGGCAGCTACCACACCTCTCCGGTGAAAGGCGCTGACTTACCTCGGCCTCTGGGACAACAGGTGGCAGAGGCCAGCCCCAAGGCCAGCCCACCACAAACAGCAGTTTGCTGGGCCCTCACCAGCATCTTTTTTTTTTTTTTTAAGATTTTATTTATAGAGCAGAAGGGAAGGAGAGAGGGAGAGAAACATCAATGTATGGTTGCCTTTCATGCCTCCCCTGCTGGGAACTGGCCTGCAGGGAACCGGCCTGCAACCCCGGTATGTGCCCTGACTGGGAATCGAACCACAGTTGTCTGGTTCGCAGGCCCGCGCTCAATCCACTGAGCTACACCAGCCAGGCCTCACCAGCATCTTGTGGTGCCGGGTCGGTGCACTGGGAGACGGGAGAGAGGTGTCACACGCCAAGAGAAGTGACCCGACAATACAGCTCAGGCTACTACATTCCACTGCTCACCGGCATCAGTAGCTGAAATTTCAGTGTATTTGCCTGGCTACTTCCCCTTTCAAAGGCAGACTGAGAGCAGGCCCCTGAGCAAGCGACTGGAGAAGCAGGGAAGAAGAAATGCCAAGGGCTACCTGGGGCGTTTCACAAATATTATCTCACTTAAAACCCAGAACAACCCCATGATACATATTTGAACACACTAGACAGGGAGAGAATCTAAATGGCTTGTCCAAGGTCAGGCAAGGCATAACCATGGACTTGAACCTGGTCTGTTAGATGCTGTCATTCACCCCACCCAGATTGGACCACTCGGTGTTGATCTCTGGTGGCCACTTGTCACCAGAATGTCTTATGAGGGCCCGTGGGTGATAACCCAAGGACTCTTTTTGGACCACTCACCACGCACTCTGCCAAGTGCTGGGTGTCTGTCATTAATACTCATCCTATGAGGAAAGTATTAGTATTGACCACATTTTAGACCCAAAGAAAGTGCCCGAGGTCCCAGAGATACTAGGGAAGGGCCCGGATCTGTTTAACCCTGATGCTCCTAACTGCTGAGTAAATACATAAATCCTATCCCCGGGGAAATTCTTGGCCTATTAGAGAAGGTGAGGCACATGCATAAATCAGCATAATTCAGAGGAGCTAGCGGGGGTGAAAGGTCTGTTGGGGAGTTTCAGAGACCAGAAGGCTGGGAGTGGCAGGGGGTCAGAGGGCAGGTGCCAGAAGTGGGCACAGCAGCAAGGAGACCCCAAATGCACGGAACATGAGTGAATTCGCTCATGGCCAGCCTGGGGGTGACGCTGGTAACCCTACCACAGTAAGAGAACTGCCCCGAGAAACTGACATTCCTGGAGGTCTGCATGGGGTTGCCATGGATACTAACAACAAAAGCCCAGGCTGGACCTGGGGCATAAATGCCATCAGCAAACAAACCTTTGGCCTGGTGCTGAGGGCAGTACTGATAAGCCAGGTCAGCTCCTTTCTCATCTGTGACCCTGGGGGAGAGAGCGCTGCATGGCACCCGTGCGTGCTGCCGGCCAGACCGTCAACACAGACACTGGGGAAGCCACTGACTCCCTCTCTGGGGTGGCCATTCCCACTCCACGGGACCAGAGGAATCCCAACCACCCCCGGGACTCAGCCCACACAAATTCAGCCACGCTCAGGGCAGCCCAGGGCTTCCCTGGGAACTGCAGTGCTGCTGCTCACACTTGGCCTTGGAACCAACTGGAGATGGTGCCTGGCCCAGCAGCGTGCAGCTGAGACTCGTGACGCCGCCAGGCTCTGGGTTCCCACCGGCAACCGGCACTTTTTTCATCTCCGCTTCTCCCGATAATGTCCGGCGAGTCCTCGACACCCGAGAACCACCCTTTGTGCAAAAGGCTGCTGTTGCCACTCCCCCCAGCAGCCCCTCGAGGGACTGGACACGCTCTCTCCTGCAGCCTGTGCACTCAGAAAACCTGAAGCTGCTGATCATGGCACTGAGACCACCCCAGGGCTCTTTTCCAGTCCTTCGGGGAACTGAGGGGCTGAACTGGCCATTGAGTAACAGCCTCAGAAGTGTCCAGGTGAGGGGAAAAAAAAAATTACAGAGTCACAAAGTCGGGCTTTTCTGTAGTCACTCCCTAGAGAAAGTGCGGGAATCTGCCACACAGCAAACCACAGGACAAGAGTTTTGTCACAAGAGTGACAAAACTTCACTCTTTGCCAGGTTCTGCTGGCACCAGGGGTGCTGCTGGGACTCAGAGGCGGGTGACCTATGGTTTCAGTCCCAGCAGCCCAGCATGACCTCCCCCTGGGCGAAGGGCACCTGAGTTCTGCTTCTGCAAGTCTTCCATGAAAACAAACACCAAGCCGGAGAGCAACCGGGATATTTTCTCTCCCTGAAGGTTAAATGCCAGGAGCGGAAGAAAAGGGACTCTATCAGCTTAGAGGCTGGGAGTGGCGGTCCCCAAGAGGGGGGGGGGTGGGACCTGCTTTTTGCCCACAGCTGCCAGACCCTGGGACTCTGGAGGGGGAGGTGCTGCCTGAGCCTCAGTTGCTTTGACTGCAAATGGGATCATTGGCTTGATCTCAAAGGCTGTTTTGAAGATTCAATGGGAGACATTAAATCGTGCCTCTCACTCACACAGAGTGGCTGGGACAAACCAGGGTAACAAAACAGGTTATCGCCTGTATCCACAGCTATCAGAGCAACCCGAGACTAATTCTGTCTTTTGGTTTCCAACCGAAAGCGCCTCTTTGAAACCGGTCAGTGTAGAAACCACGTAAGCCAGCAGAGAATGTGGAATGTGCACACCCTGCACACATTTTCACGGTTCCCGGAGGACTTCTCTCCCACACGGGACTCACTTCCCTTTAGTGCAAGCCGAGGGAGGTGTGACAGTGTCAGAGAAGCGGGTTGCTCTGGATACGGGACAGGTTTCCGGCAGCCCGGTCACACCGGACCCCTATCTCCTGATCTGCGCCACGGACTCCCTCCAGGCCAGAGAAAAGTGAGCACGACGTGTACAGCTTTGTTTTTTCCCATCAATGTTATTAACCCTTCAGTTCCAGGGCAGTGAAAAATATTTTATTGGAGAAAGGAGGGCAATGGGGTGGGCACAAATGAGGGAGAAGGGAGGGAACGTAAGATGGCACCTCCAGAGTGGGGTCCGCTCCCCTGCACCCCTGCCCCAGATGTGATCACAGACACATCTATGTGATGTGGCATCTATGGGATGTGGACCCACACAGGACAGTGTGCCCTGGAACCGGCCAGAGGGTGAGTAAAAACCCAGGGTGTCGGGCTCCGCAGGCCTGCGGTGGGGGGCCCACGAGTGTGCATTCCTAACACGGTTCTGGGTGACACGGATGCCGCTGGTGGACCCTGCTTTGAGACCTGCTAGCGAGGTGGTGTAAACGCAGAGGGCTGAAGCCGCTTCCTAGCTGGGTGACTTCAGAGGGGCTGTTGAACTTGAGTTTCCTCTTAGAAACCCATGACATGGAAGTCATCACAGCACTTAACCTCGTGGGGCCGTCTGATGGCATAAGCGCGCAAATCCACACGAAGACTCTGAACAGTGCCTGGCACACAGCGAGTGCGGTGAACACGGGCTGTCACCGTCGTCGTCCTCTGCCTCCTGGTTTTTTTGAAAGTTAACCATGTACAGACGTATGAAATACGTGCAACACAAAATTCTTTCTCTTACTAGGATACACGATGCTGCTCTGGAACCACACCTGCAATCAGAGCCCTGAGGTGCAATGATTGGTTTTTTTACAAGTCATCTTACTATCCTTGAAGGCAGCAGTGCCTCTCATGCTTTCGTGTGCATGAACATCCCCTCAAGCTCCTGTTAAAATGCAGGTTCTGCCCTGACCGGTGTGGCTCCATGGGTGGGAGCGTTGTCCCGTGAACTGAAGGGCACATGCTTGGGTTGCGGGTTCCATCGCTGGTCAGGGCACATGCAAGAGACAGCCTATTGATGTTTCTCTCCCCCTCTTCTTCCCCTCCCCTCTCTCTAAAAATAAATACATAAAATCTTAAAAAAAAATACAGATTCCGACTCAGGGGGTCTGAGCAGGGCCTGGGAGTCTGCATTTCTAGCGAGCTCCCGGGCGATGTGGGTCTGAGGGGCTGCAGGCTGGATCGCCCGGCTTGAAGGGGCACCAGCTGATCGGCGAGATCTGGGCTGGGCCTGCTCCTGCAAGAGCAGATGGGCGCCCTTCTCTGGAGCACTCCCAGGAACCCGACAAATGCACAGTCCCCACCAGTCTGTCACTGCTCCCTGCTTCCACTGCTCCGTCTCCTCTATGAGAAGGCCAGGCGGGGCGCCAGCCCGAAGTGGGGAGCCCCCTTGCTCTCTCCCAGCTGCTCCCACTATTTCCCTCCCTTCTCCAATTCCATGCGCGTAACTGTCCTGTTGGTGAAGCGCTAACATTTTCAAGATACCTGCTTTTTATGTGGCCAATTATACAGTAGTTTTAAAAGTAAAAGTTATGCTGAGACACGAAAATGGGCCATCCCAAGAGCAGAATTCTGAGGAGGTATTCTGACCTACCGAACACCTAGGCAGTCACGGTTTCAACACCCTGTTTCTGCCCCCAGTCCCCTCCCCTGGGCTCTGGGTAAAAGCCCCACCATCCCAACCAGGAAACCGACACTCAGCATGCGGGCACATCTTTATCTCACTGACATTCTCCCTCTTCCCCAAAAGCAGCGCCTGGGGTACAGCAGGTGGAAGGTCCCCCGGCGACCTCAGTTCAGCCCTGCACTTTTCTATTTGAACTGTTTCAAAGTTTGTCTTTTTTCCAAATCATTAATTAATAAGGCTTTAAGAGAAACAATGGATTTATAACGACTCAGTTTCCTGCCCATTAACTTACCCAAACCTATTCAGTCCCAAGAAAACAATTAAAACTGTTAACACAGAGCACTGAAATGCCACACAAAAAAAGACAACTACTGATATTTGCAACAACATGTATGAATTTCAAAGACCTTAGTTAAGCAACAGAAGCCAGAAGAAATAATACACATAGATTTAGATTCCATTTGCATGGATCCAAGAACAAAAAACAGATCTCAGGTGTCGCAAGTCTGAGTGGTCTCTCAGGAGGCAGGTGTAAAGGAGGGGACCACCCAGGGTGCCATAAATGTGCATCTTTCCTGGTGGCCTCAGTGAGTGTCACTGAAGCCACTCACCACGTAAGATCTAGTGCACTTGATGGTATAGCTCATGAAGACGATAGAGAGAGTGCCGGAGATCAGTGAACCAGCCAGGCCCATCTAGACACTAGCAGGGAAAGGATCAGATCAGTGCAAAGGACACAATTTACCCTCTTCCACGAGATCCAGGACTTCATGCTGCTCCAGGCTGAACTTCCTCTCTTCATCTCGGCAGTCGTACTCAAAACATTCTTCTTCCCCTCCCTGGTCTCCCAGGGACATTGCTGAAGTCACCCCAAAGCCAACACATTGCCCTAAGGGGCTGTTGTTAGGGGAGATCCTGGCCACCAGCCCAGAGAAGCCACTGGGGCCCAGGCCCCAGGGGCACACGCTGAGCCCTGGCTGGGGCCTGGGATACACCCTGGCTGCACTGGAATGGAGGGTGTATGCAGGGTCATGGGCCCAGTGTTGCCTAGGACAGGCCCAGAAGGGAGTGGCTCCCCTGAGCTGGGAGGAGGGACAAGGCAGGGTGAGGCGAAACACCTGTTGGAATGGGACTGCCCCGCCCAGCCCTGGGGTGACCCAGCCAGGTGCTCTGTTTTCAGAGGGGAGGCAGGAAGGCAGGTGTCAGACCTCAGGAGCAACCTCTCCGCCTCTAGAGTCATTTCCCCACCCCCTTCCCAGACCCAGGAGGAGTAGCAGCTCCCTGGAAGTTTCATGAGCAACTGCACAGGGCAATCTGAACCAGTCCTTAAGCAGGTTGGGGCTAAAGGTGGGGTTCTGGCAGAGGAGGTGCCAGTGAGTGGTTGCACAAAGCCCTCAGATGGGGGGTTTCCTGTGGGCTGCCTCAGAAGCTGAGACAAATCTGTGACGGCAGCCTAACTCGGCGCTGAGCTGGGCAGGAAGCCATCGCTCTGAACCCTGCAACAGGAAAAGAAGTGCGGTAACCATTACCTATGCGGGGCGAGGTCGTCCCGGTCCTTCCTCTGTCATAGTGCATTGCACATGCTCTTTTTTTAAAGGGCATCTTAGACAAAGGGCGCATAATTAGGACAACTGTAATTGCGTTATCAATAAAATGTAACTAAAAAAATAAAGTGCATTGTACAAATCTCACCCTCAATCCGTGTGTTCCACAGCCAAAGAGCTCTTTAATTGCTGGGCTAAGGGGGGGCTGAGGGGACCTATAGCCTCCTAGTTTACAGTGTTTCCCGGAAGAAGAAGAAGCCACAGTTTAACAGCGTGTCTTGTTACTGATTCCTCTGCACTGTTTGGTTTTGCCTGTGTCAGTGAAGATGGCAGGTTCCTGCATCAAACCCGCTACAAGGTGGCCCAGAGCGCTGGCATCTCAGAGATCCACAGCGCATCCCGCAATTCCAGAGTTTCAGCCACCTCCCAGCTACTTGGTGGCAGGTCTCCCTGCCCTAGCAGCCACACCGGTCCTAGCTGCTTTCTGCTGATTGACCTCCCTCATCCTGCAGGAGTCTCAGGACTGTGACTCCATGAGTTCAGCGACTAGGTCTCATTTGTGCACAAACCCTTGGACGGAGGAGCCTGCTCAGGCAGCTAAAAATGTCCACTAAATTGAACTGCTGCCTCCACAAACATGAACCAAAGACCGTGGACGAGGGCCTCTAATGAGAAAGCCACAATATAACACAGATTTTACTTTAAAATGAAAGCCTAGAGACTATGTACATCTGCTTAATTTTTTTTGGAAGCTACATATTATGACATGAATGATGTGTTCTTTGTAAAAAGGAGGTTTAGTGAAATTCAGTGGCCAGGAGTTCAAAATCACATTTGGAAAAATCTTCATGAGTTTGAAATACAATGGTTATAAAAATACACACCCAGGGGAAACAAATTGGGCTCGTTAATTCAGTTCAAATGACAGTGAGTTGGACGCCCTGGGGGAGGGAGGAGGGAGAGTTTCCAGCAAGGAGATAAAATGTGTAGGGTTCTGGGTGGGGCTTGTGTGGATAAATGAAAACAAAAGCTGATTTCATAGATTTGAAAACAATGTTAACTCACTTTACTGATAGCCAAGTTGGCCACACGCCTCCCTTAGCTGAAACCCAGGCTAACCTTAACCAATGGTGTGCAAGTCTCTGTATTATACAATAAATGTTAAAGTAATATGTGCATTTTAAAAACACTTAGGATGTGTCATTCTGAACACAAGACTACCTATGCCTCTTCACGCCGTCCCATTTCCCCAGGTTCCACCATTCCTCGGGTTGTCCCCCAGGACCACCACCCAAATCTCCCCTCCCTCCCTCCCTGCCTCCCCCTTGGTGGGACTGTGAGGGAATTCTCAAACCTCATCCGCATCTGCCTGCATGGCAAGGTCAAAGGCAGAGATGGGCCAAAGGGCATCTTCTCTGAAAAGGTTTTTCCAAAAGCCAAAGCCGAACGTGGCCCCTTTAGAAAGACCAGGGAGAAAGCGGGGACTCCCTGTGCCAAGGAGAGACAGGGACATGGAGAAAGGGAGGTGGGGGTGGCCTGGCTCAGCCCTGGGAAGGTCAAGCAGCAGGTGTGACTGTTGCCCCAGAGGCGAGGACCAGCCCCTGGGGCCCAGAGCTGACCGTCTGGGAAGGGCCAAAGGAGGACAGAGTCACTGGCCGACCCCACAGTGCAGAGGGACCTCTTTCTGGGGGTGCCCCTCTGCAGATCTCCTCACGTACCACCCGAGGTTATCTTCCTGAAGCTCCACCCTGGGCTGTTCAAGGAGCAGCCATTAGCTGCTGGGCCCATTTACGTTTAAATTGGAATAAAACCCTGAATTCAGTCACACTGGCCACATTCCCAGTGCTCCAGAGCCACATGGGGCTAGCGGCTGCCACCCTGGACACTTCCGTCATCACCGAAAGGCACCCTGGACAGGAGCGTTCTGAAGGGTGCCCTGCTGTTCTAGAGGTGCACGCTACACCTCTGAGCCGCCCCGCCTGCGTCTCCCCGGGGCCTGCACTCCCACCGGACCCCCCCCCCACACCTCCTGGACCCCCGCACACCGCACTGAAACCGTGGGCCTTACTACTTGGACTTCCCGTGAGGTCTCTAGGCCCTCCGAGCCGCATCCCAGGGAAAGTATTCCTCTCCTTCAGCAGAGCTGGTGAGCAAAGACTTACGTTTCACATTTACATTTAATTCCCCCTTTAAAAATTTTTCTTTAACAGCCATCGGAAGAGTGCTGTCTGGAATGGGGAAAGTTAGCACGCCCCCAAAGCCACACCCCACAGCACACGGATGGGAAATGGAGGGTCATGTACACCGCCGGACACACAGTGCGGGAAAATGAGAAACCACCTTTTAAGCCTTGAAACTGCCTTTCAGTGAATGGATGCTCACAATGCCTCTGACTGAACTTCACTCCCATGCCAGCCACCCTCACCTCGGGGCGGCGCTTCAGAGGTTCGTGCAAGTGGGAGTTACGGCACACGTGACCGCCCCCCCCACCCCGTGCATTATGGTGGACCTTCATGAGGAATTAAGAAGTCACAGGAACAGCTCTGACGACCCACCTCTTGTTCCCCATTCAGAAAATCGCCATGGACTGGACCATCTCCCGCCCCAACGTTGGGTTCCATGGCCCGTAAAAGGAGGAAATGAAACTGGATGACAACAAAAATAACTGCAGGAGAAACAGGCCGCCGGAATGCTATGCACCTTGTTCACAGACCATGCGCCTTTTCAAAGGGACTTTTAAAGAGAATTGAATTACTAGCGCTGTTTCTGAGAAAATACAATTCAGCACTGGCCCGGCACGTCACCGTTTACAAAGAGCTCTCACTTTGTTGACACTCCTTGCCCTCTCCGCAACGCCTCGGTGGCACTGTGGTATTTACCCCCAGTTTCCGGAAGGAGACTCTGGGTTGGCAGAGGTCCCGGGAGGTGCCCAAGCCACACGGCCATGGGGCGCACAAAACAGACGTCGCCGCAAACTTCAGGCCAGTGCTCTGCTTTGCCGCCTGTCTCTAGAATAACTACGAAACTGCGCTGTTTCTTTAACTTCAGGAACATACACTGGAAGCCAAGCCTTTTTTGAAAAACACCTCTCTCTCTTTATAAGCTCACTTTTTTTTTAAGTGACCCGTGTAGCCAAGAAGTAACATAAGACTCTGCAACAGACCTAAAGAAACATTGGGTTGGCCAAAAAGTTTGTATGTTTTTTTCCGTAAAAGACACATTTTCATGGTCACCAATAACTTTACTGATTTGACTATTTTGAGTATGCTGGCGGTTTCCCGTGCAGTAGAATGCTGACCATTCCCAATTCGTGTCTGGATGCAATCACAGTCATCTTCAACTGGTCTGCCCAGCTGTGCAGCATGGCGTCCGCTGAGAAATCTCCAGTGCACAACTTCGCAAACCACTTTTGACACGTTCAGTCAGTCACGGCACCTTCTCCATACGCTGCACACATGGTTTTTTTTTGCATTTCAGTTGCATTTTTACCTTTCTTGAAATAACAAAGCACAATATGCCCAAAATGTCGTGTATTTTCTTCTATCTTCAGTATGAAAATGGCTACACAAAAGCTCATCAGTTTTGATAAGCTTTTTTTAAATGCATGCTGACATGACAACTGTCAAGCTGTCACAGCACAATCTAACAAAACTGTTTTGAATGAAGTTAAGGACAACTAAGTGCTACTAGAGCCACTGTGTGGAAAAAAACAAATGGACTTTGTGGCCAGCCCCATATTGTGCAGACCCCGGTGCTGGGGGCTGGTCCCCACTGATCACGGCTGCGACGTCCCCAAACACACTTGATGTGACAATCACCAAAAGCATGCGCTAAAAGCTCAGATTTCCCCAAGCCTCTCCAGAGTGGGTCAGGGAATCTGCTCTATTAATACGCAGGTGGGTGATTTTCATGATCTGCAATCAGACAGGCACACCTGCAGTGGCGTTAACCATGACCCTGTGTGACACCGAGAGTCGAAACTGTAAACTGTGCAAATTCTGCAAAAGCCACTGTTACAGTGTGTTGACTGCCGGCCGATTCAAATCTCTCAAAACTACTTAATACTTAAGGTGCTGGCCAGCCAACCCCTCCAATTTCTTATCATTCTGAGTCGCTGCCCTTCAAGCCCCTCGTTACTCGCTGGGGGTCTCGCTGTGTGTTTGGCGGGTGGGGGAATGGACAGGAAGGCTCCACAGCTGATGCCGGTCGGACGGAAGAACACAGTTACAGAACCTGAGTGAAGGTCCCCTGAGGCTCGGAGGTGGAACACAACGGTGACATTTTAAATTCCCACCTTCAAGGCGGGGTCCCACTTGTCCTGCAGCTGACAGTCCCGCCCACCCACACTACTTTTTTTCGGCGCGAACCCTGCAATTGAAGTATGACTCGGTAACGCTGACATATATGATGGTTTTGCATCTTTTTGGAAAACATTGGACTCCCCCTTTGTTTTTAGCATGTAAAGTTCCTGAGAGGTTTCCCTCATTAAGAACTTAAATGTCGATGATGA